GGAACGCTCTAATAGGCTAAGCCTTATGTTTATGCGAATGAATATTGCCAACAACATTAAGAGTACTATTCCACAAACAGAAAGTGCCATAGAATACCTGACGTTTGTGANTGAAGGAAGAGTTAAAATCCATGGAATACAATAAAGTCTGGGATCTTGTTGAATTGCCAGAAAAATCTAAGAGAATCGGGTGTAGATGGGTCTTTAAGACCAAACGCGATTCAAATGACAATATTGAGAGATACAAAGCCAGACTTGTTGCCAAGGGTTATACTCAGAAAGGAGGCATTGATTATAAAGAGACCTTTTTGCCGGTCTCAAAGAAAGACTCGTTAAGAATTATTATGGCTTTGGTGGCTCATTATGATTTAGAGTTACACCAAATGGATGTGAAAACTGCCTTTCTTAATGGACACCTCGAGGAAGAAGTTTATATGGACCAACCAGAGGGTTTCGAAACTAAAGGAAAAGTTCACATGGTGTGTAAACTGAAGAAGTCAATATATGGACTTAAACAAGCCTCACGACAATGGTATATAAAGTTTAATGATACCATAACATCTTTTGGATTTGTGGAAAATACCGTTGATCGGTGTATATACCAAAAGATCAGTGGGAGCAAGTTTATATTTTTAGTCCTATATGTTGATGATATTCTACTTGCTGCTAATGATTTAGGCATATTACGTGAGACTAAAGATTTTCTCTCTAAGAATTTTGAAATGAAAGATATGGGTGAGGCATCCTATGTGATAGGAATAGAAATATTCCGTGATAGATCACAAGGATTATTGGGATTGTCTCAGAAAGGCTATATCGAAAGAGTTCTAGAGAGATTTAACATGAATAATTGTTCAGCAGGAATTGTTCCAATTCAAAAAGGGGACAAATTTAGTCTCATGCAATGCCCTAAGAATGATGTAGAACGAAAGGAAATGGAATCAATTCCTTACTCTTCAATTGTTGGTAGTCTGATGTATGCTCAGACTTGCACAAGACCGGATATTAGTTTTGCGGTCGGAATGCTAGGAAGATATCAGAGTAACCCAGGAATTGATCATTGGAAAGCTGCAAAGAAAGTTTTGAGGTACCCGAAAGGAACGAAGGATTACATGCTCATATATAGGAGATCCAACCATTTGGAAGTTGTTGGATACTCAGATTCAGATTTCACTGGATGTATTGACACTAGAAAATCCACGTTTGGTTATTTGTTCCAATTAGCTGAAGGAGCAATATCGTGGAAGAGTGCCAAACAGTCTGTTATTGCTACATCCACGATGGAAGCAGAATTTGTGGCATGTTTTGAAGCCACAATTCATGCATTATGGCTGCGAAACTTTATTTCAGGACTTGGGGTTGTCGACACCATTACCAAGCCACTGAAAATTTACTGTGATAATTCTGCAGCAGTATTCTTCTCCAAGAACGATACATACTCCAAAGGTGCCAAACATATGAAATTAAAGTACTTTACCGTCAAGGAGGAAGTTCAAAAACAAAGAGTGTCACTTGAGTATATTAGAATTGATCTCATGATTGCAGATCCATTAACACTACTAAAAAAACCAGGGTTTAGCGACAGACAAAATCTGTAGCTAAACAGAAAAATCCGTCGCTAATCTCATTTAGCGACGGATTAGCGACTGATTATCAAAAGACTCTTCTAGCAACGAGCATTTTAGCGACAGATTAGCGACGACGTTCGTAGCTAAATCCAGTTTTTTTTGTAGTGTAACGAAAGGTTTACAACCAAAGATATTTAAAGAACACGTACATAGAATGGGTCTTGGCTGTATTTATGACTGATGTATTTATGATATGTTGACACTCTGAGCTCATTTATATGTTTCTGATATACATTAGTGATTTCCTGTTTCTCATAATGGTGTACACATTATTGTTTTTAGATATTACAGGATAAGTCTCAATGAGATATTATTGTGGACCATAATATTTTATAGCTTATGGACCTGATACAATGAGTTGTTAATGTTGTTGTATATGGAAGGGAGTATGTAGACAAATTATATATAACCTCCATAACTCACATTTAGTAGTTTATCGTATTATGGTATTTATGATGGACATTATAGAAGAGATTTGTTTATGCGCAACTAATGTTACTATATTAAATATTAATATTATGTGATTATTGGGCCAAGTGGGAGAATGTAAACTATTTTCTTACGTGTATGTGGCCCAATAAGATTAGGCCCATAATTAATATTTAATTAATGAGTAAATCTCATCCGTCCGATCGGTTATTTGGTGGACGTACCGGATTAAGTGAGAACCTCTATAAATTGGTCCTCTCCCCACCCATTAGGGTTACCGAATTTTACTTTCTTTCTTCCATCATTAAAGGCGGCGGTATCATAAGTTAGGGCAAGGGGCGAGAAACCAGTTTTTGAATTAACGCTCCCGCTTCAAGATAATGGATTCCGCTTCAGGTATGTTTTCTATGGCAATTACATGGAAGATTATCATGTTCAAGATCCTGGTATGAATTAAAGTTTATGCTTACAGATACATGATATCAAGGAAACAACGTTAAATCTCCTATTTTTAGAAGGTAATTAAAGCTTCATATTCTTTCAATATATATAAGGCAAATCTTCTTTTAAAAATACATGCAACTTGCACGATGCATATGTATATTGAAACCATATTGAATATCGAAAGAAATAGTGGGTTTTACTTAATTCGCCAATTTGATCAGTTGTTGCCTTCTCAAGTACTTAAATATCTATTGTTTCTTTTAGTGCTTTTAGTTTAAATCAATGGGTTGAGACGAATATGCGTTATGTTCGAATCTTAAGAGTAATATATTGTCAATTATTAGTTCGTGGGTCCTTTTTTTTTTTTTTTTTTTAAATATAGAAAAACAAAATCATTGGGTGCACGTGATGGCAGTCCTTTTTGATACTGACGCTAGAAGTACGTTGACTTTGAATTTTTTGGTCTTCTTTTCTTGTCTTTAATTTCTTGTTCAGGGCGATAAGGATTTTGGTGGTTCTTGGTAAGCTCCGGCGCCGGCGCGTCGCTTCTTTACCGGTTTCAAATCCTTCTACGGTGAGAATGATTGCTTGTAATTAATCAGCTAGCAGAGGAATTCTTATTTCAGTTATATACACACATTGTAAAATTTTATGCAATCATTATGGTTTAACATGTGATGATAGGTTAGTTACTACTATTTACTAAACCAAATTAACATTTCCTCTGTATCATAGATTTTAACCTCAGTTGTTAGTTGTTTGTTGTGATCTGATTGTGTAAGTATTTTTGACATCATGCTTTTTTTAGTTGTTGCACTTTAGCTATATAATTCTCGCTTTTATCGTCTTTCTGTGAATTCGTATATAATTTGCTTGTTCAGATTGTCAACTTATATTTTTCGGGTCATCTCTTGGGTATGTGATTCTGTGAGTGGGGAACTTTTGTTATGTTTTCATCTCATTAATATCAGAAATTTTAGTGCCGCTTCAAGGCGGAGATAGATTATCCATATATACTAAATGAAAATTTTAACTCAAATACCTCGTCCTGCCGAACTCGTAACTATGACGGCGGCAACGCCCCTATTCCCCCTCAAACCAAGCTGTCCTTTTCTTTTTCAACTTGATATTTTATTGGAACGGAAATGCTCATACATATCATTCAAGTTCTGGATTAGCAAAATGATATAAATTGATAGGAGTAGTTGTTGGTTTGATTTAATCACCATTGAAGCCATGCTTAACTAGTGTTTTAAAAGGTGAAGGATTTTTACCTGTCCGACAAATGTTCAATTTCTAACTGTTATTTAGATGAAAAGATTGTTAATGATCTCCTGCTTCTTCCCCTGTGAATACAGATTTCATGTTCTCGGTTGCGATTCTTACAGGATATTCCTCCAGAGGTATATACCGGGGAAATATAGTTGCCAATTTAGAAATAGAAATAGCTGACGCTGTTACAGGAAATCGTATTAAATATGGAGCCGAAGCCTATGCAAAAGTTGAAATTGTTGTTCTCAACGAGGACTTTGATCCTAATCAAGAGAGTTGGACAGCTGTTCATGAATCCAATATTCAAATTGCTGGAGGAAGAGCTCGAAATTCAGTGCCTTGGAAATATCTCTATCTAAATTTGCAAGGAGGCATTGGCTGTGCGAGTGAAGTGAAACTGAAACACAGAGCGCAATGGATCAAGATAAGTAGGGTGAGGCTAGGAGCAAGAGTGGTAGATCTACCACATCCAATTAAAGAAGCAGTGACAGGATTGTTCGTTGTCAAGGACACGCGATTGAGTACGTACTATTTAATTTCTTGTATCTTCTTTGCCAAGATTTTACATTTCAAATCCTCATAACAACATTCTTCTAGTTGTATTTCTGTTCTTTCCACCTTAAAGTTTTGCCTGTTATTAGGCTTCTTAAATCTCCACATAATATGTGATCATAGCACTTGTTTCAAACACATTGATTGCCATAGTTACTCTATCTTTTTAGGTTACTAGTCTCTCTGCTGCACGTTAGTATCATATCATTATTATATGTTTTGTACTGCAAAATACTGAATTTTTATCAAATGCAAGTTTAAGAATTTTTGTTTGATTTATAAAGGTATTTGAACATACATTAATTGCAAATTAATGTTTATTTTATAATTTTATCTATTATTTCAACTTTACTTTTAAATAGAAAATTTTGAAGCAAATTAAAAGTTTTGTTTGATTATCTCCTATGAAGTAAGTTTCACTCACAAAAGTTTAACTTCTTATTGAAGTGCAATTTATGTCAAACAAAATTTCAAACTTCTTTCCAACTTCAACTTTAACTTCAAATATTGATTTTTTAAACTTAAACCAAATATTATCTAAAAAAAATAGAACCCATAAAATTATGCATAAATTGTTAATAAATTAATTTTTCAAAATTTATTTACCAAAAAAAGACTTTTTTTTTGAAAGACTTAAATATATCAATTCAAAATCAAAATTGTTCGTACTCTCCCTTCAAAGTGGAGTAAATAATTTTATGACTCTTCAAGAAACCTTTAAAGTTATTTATTAAGGCAATAGAAGTATCTTACTTCAGAAAATAAATATAGATCAAATATTTCTTCCCGAAGCTGCAATGCCTCTTCCGAATTTGAATAGTAGTGATTAGTGGATAACATTACCAACATGCTATTGTTAAACAACATCCACGTTTCCATCACCACTTGCATATTGTAAAAATATTAAAAAATATCTAAAAGTAAAATTGTGCAAAGAATTTTAATTAGAATGTGAAGGAATAATGTAGCAGCACTTTTGCCAATGATAGTAATTTCTCTAGACTTTGGAAATAGTGTTACGGAAATTTGATACTCAGAATATAATGCCTATTAAAGAAACTAAATTTGTATTCCTTAGTAGTTTCTTCTAACATAAGAACTCAAGAAAAAAAATTAGAATTGAAATATAAGATTTAAGAACGAAGAATAAATATATTCTTCAACGTTAATGAAGAATCACATAATGTGTTTTAAGAAGAAGTATTTTTCTCGTATCTTTTATTCACTTCAAATGAAAGCCTTTAGAAATTAATCATATAGCATGGTTAAACAAATATAAATTAAATTCTTAAAGTAAATACAATTATAATATCAAAGTGATGATTGCTAGTTCTGGATGCTAAAAACCAGTAGTACCCTTCAATTTACATATTAATGTCCGCATGATATTATCAATTATAGAAGAGAGTTGTAAGTTGCATAAAGTTTAATAATAGTACCTATCCGCAAATGAAAGAAAGAGGATACGTATAAGGAAATCTACCTCATAATTGATTCAACTATTCGTTTTCATTTTAGATTGTTACCATGACGTGTGGTTGAACAAATGTGAAGGAACACATTAGAAAACTCTATTTTATTTATCTGAAGGAAGACACCCCTTCGAATCAAGGCATCGATTAATTTTTTTTATTTTATAAGTAGTTGTTTCCTCTTGGACAAATAATTATTAATGAATAAACACAACTATTTAGAAAAGACACAATATAAATCAGTTTCATTTTGGTATTTATTTATTTATTATTGTCTAATATAAATATATATTATTAAAAGGTTATTTTAGTAATTTAACTTTTTAGGTTTGGCTTGTGTAGTTTTGCCAAGACTTTGAAACTGCTAAGAAAGAGCATTTTTTCCCCTATGTACTTGCTTGATTAACATATTTCTGAAAAGAAAAGATTAGTTGATGCATTTGAGTGTCCACAGAAAGCCCGAAGCGTGATCCGCCATCACCAACTGATGAGGTATGGCGACTCGAAAAGATTTACAGAAATGGTCAGTTTCATAAGAAGTTGCCTGCAATGGATATCAGAACAATGGGGGATTTTCTAACTGAATTCTCCAAAAATGCTGCAAGGTTACGGGGCGTAAGAACTCAATTCTTCCTTAGAAATTTACTTTCACAACACCTGGAACTTGTGATAGTTATTTCTTTCCTTGTATCAATAATAAATGCTTCATTTGCTTTGTGGTGAACCTGCTGTAGATTTTTTTCCCATCAAATTCAAATTTCCAAACGTCTTCGTTGCAAACACATTGATGTGTCTTTACTCTATGTCAGCGGCGGAGCTAGAGCACGTGATTACTGATTTAAAACTCACTAACTTAACGGTCACTGCTCTCTGTTCATGTTTTATAATTTTTGCATCCCGAGCAAACGAAAGAAAGTTGATTTCTGATTAGTAAATTTGGACATAAGAATTTTTTTCACATTTTTTTTTTTGAAAAATTTTCATTTTTTTTTCGAAATCAGTGTTTGACCATAAAATTTTTAATTTTCACTTAGATGAATTTTGGGATTTTTCTAAAATTTGAAAAACTCCAAAAAACTATTTTTCAAAATTTTCACTCAGATCACTCATAAAACTTCAAAAACAACCCAAAATTATATTCATGTCCAAACACAACTCTAATGTTCAAATACCATTTTCAACTGAATTTTTTTTTCACTTTTTTTGGAATTTTACAGTTCTTATGTCTAAACGCCCACTAAATCTTTCAATTGTATTTTGGTTTCCTATTTTAGCATAGCATCTAAACAATTTTGAGTACACATTTGCCCTTTCCACTTGTGCTTCATGCTGTTACTAAAGAGTGTCTTTGTATGACTGCAGATTCTTGGCCCAACAATGTCTAATCATATGTGGAATGCTACTATAACGCATGCACAGAGATGCAGACATGATACAAGACAACTCGTGCACTCTCCTGTCGAGACATGTCAAAGAGTTTCCATGGTTAGATGTGGGGGCTCTTCTCCTGACATGACTAGCAACCAGCACGAGTCAGGTAGAATTTCTCTCCTATATATATGCAGACAGTATGAGTATATTGATTCTTATTATTCGATTTTCCTAAATATGTCACTTACCTTTTCGATCTTCCAACACGTCTTTGGTTTGTGATCCAGAGGGTTTCTTGCAAAAATTGAAGGAAAGTCTTTCTAGTGTTATTATCTGGGAGGAATCTGAGCAAGTTCAATATGAATATCAACAAGATAACCTGCTGCAGACCTGTTTAGAAGAAAATGAGGTTTCCGAGTATATTAATGAATTACTAGTACTACATGAAGGGTCTGCAATATCTTGCATTCCAAACTTCATTGTCTCAGCCAGCAACCACAACGGTAGTTGCAAAGGCAAGAAGCGCTGGACAGTGTTATTTATCATACTCAGATGGTTCTTGATTAGGAGGGTTGTCAAAACTGAGGACCGATTAGCCAAGAGGTCAAGATTGTCCTAAGGAACCACAAAAACCATCCGCACAAAGTAAAGTAACATACTCCTTCCGCTTCAAAAAGAAAGAACCTTTTACTCTTTGACCATATTGTTTTTGAAAAAAAGAGCAGTCCAATGCCAAGGCATTCTGTATTCATGTAGCGATCGAGGAAAGGTCGCACCGAAAGGTGTGATATAGACAACCTATTTAATGCAAACATTAGTGGCTGATTCAGCGGCTCGAACCCGTGACCTATATGTCATACAGAGACAACTTTGCAGTTGATTAATAGTTTTTAAATATTTTGAATTGTTCGCTATTATGACTTATAATACTTTTTGTGAAGTATGTAAATTTTATTTTAAAAAACATAAAGAATCTCTATTTGAATTCACACATAAATTTTGTCAATTTGACTTCATAATTATATTTATACCACGTTTAATACTTTTAAGAATTTAAATTTATTATACAATTTTACTCTTTTTTCAACTATTATTTTAATACTCTGTGTTTTAGTTTATATGAATTTATTTCCTTTTTGGTCCGTTCCAAAACGAATGATCCTTTTCAAAATTTGGAAACAATTTAGCTTAAACTTCCAATTCTACTCTTAATGAGAAACTTTTATAATCACACAAATACTCTGGACCCATTTTTGACTTGTTTAGGACCACAAATTTCAAAAGTCTTCATTTTTTCTTAAACTCCATGTCCAGTCAAACAGGCTCGCATAAACTGAAACGGAGGGAGTAACTATTTTTCATCATCACTTATGCATTGTTAAAATAAAATTAATATTTTAAATATCTGTGTAATCAAATTTCTTGCATAAAATGAAACAGAAAAATTATCTTCTAAATCAAGTAAGGACACAATTAGCAAAAAAGAGAAGTAAGAACAAGTGTACATGTCTAGAAAGAAGACAACTTATCCCTTTTCTTTGTGGCTAAATACAAAATGACTATTCACTCTCACAAGAAGGCCCAGCCCACTACCGACTTCAGATAGGGCCTAGTCACGTAAAAAAATAGTACGGGCTAGTTAGTTTTTGGACTGATCATTAAAAAATAATCACTATTTTATTGCAACATGGAAAGTTCCAGCATAATATAGTGGAGATTGATGTACCTGTGTATGAACTTCCAGAATATTATGCTGAAATTCTAACACGGGGAAAGTTCCAGCATAATATACTAGAGATTTGAGCACCTGTGTATGAACTTCCAGAATATTATGCTGAAATTCTAACACGGGGAAAGTTCCAGCATAATATACTAGAGATTTGAGCACCTGTGTATGAACTTCCAGCATATTATGCTGGACCGACATATTATACAGAAACTCCAGTATATTATGCTGGAATATTTTCTAGATTTTGAACAGTGTTTTCGTTCAAATTTATCTTTACATGAAAAATGACTAAATTTCAATTGCTTTTAAAACTGTGGCTATTTTTCAATGACCACTTATAAATCTGACTATTTTTGAATTTCTTCTCTCTACTCACGGACCTGAGAGTTGAGCCTTTTTCATTGTGGCTATCAAGAGAGGGAAAGTGCACAGATAGCCGATCTCATGACCACTATTTAAGCATCGCTGAAGTTTATAAATTTTTCTCAACTTAGTCATTTCAAAAATATTTTCAGACTAAAGTTTCAAAAATCTGCATATGATATTATTAATTTATTCTGAAGTTTTACATATTGCTTGTGTAAGCAAGCTCTAGATATATGCGACTGAAGTTTGACGTTTGGCAAATCTCAAGCTTCGATCATTTTTGTTTAAAGTTTGGTTTGACAGTCTCACATTTCTAACCGGTATATTTAAAGTTTACACTATCAAGCTTAATTTTAGAGCAGTATTGAAAACAGCCATCAGCCATCTTGTATAAGACGTAAGGAAAACTCACAAATTCCAATAGTTTAGTCTTTGTGGAAAAAAATATCTGTCGTTGATGGATACATTGGCTTTCATACCGCATGTAGCCATCTTGCCTTTCCTTACACTAGGCCATATGAACTCTACGCTTAAACTGGCCCATGGGATTTCCTAAGATGTGATACATACTCGTGATGGAGTAGTGAAGCTATAGGATTGTCTATGCACAATTGCCAAACCATGTAATGAGATTAAGCTCTTATTAGATTTTGCTTCTTCTTTTTTTAGTTTACTTTTTCTTTTAAATATTAAATCTGAATTAATTTTTTTCTACTCAGGGGCAGCCCAGGCAAAGTCTTGGTCAAGCCTTACGAGTCAACGAGTTTGACATTTAGCTTAAGGTATATATATTTATATGCATATTGCCTCAAATTTTACTAATGGAAGATCTCGCACCGTCAACCCGCCAAATTTCTTGTATTCTCTTGTTCTACTATTCATAAAACATCCCGAATTATCAGCCACAAATGACTTTTCGACCTCCCATTGGGTAGTAAGTGGAACTCCTCGTAGAAGCTTCATCAGAATTACACAACCACTGACCTCATCACAGGAGATAGCCTACATGCGGAATTTCCATACCGACATCTTCCAACGACGCTGCATTGAGTACAACCACCACGAAATCAGTAAAGCATCCTAATCCCGTGCCCGTCCACCAGCTGTAAGAGTCTGTTCATTCCCCATTGACATCAACTGAAAGTTCGACAATACGTTCCAAACTCGAAGTCACGTTGCATCCACAAACGATAATCAAGTTTTCACACCCTTCTTCATTTGAAGCAAACTCCTATTTTCCATATTCAATCTTCCTTAGTGCGGTAGCCTCCATCTCAAATAAAATTCGCAGACCTAGTCACTTTCCATCATGATTCCCAAATCGCTCTAAATTTTTCTCAAGGCATGTGGCTATCCTACCACAGAATCCATATGCTACTCTGCTACTCCCACTTCTGTTAAACCATCTCCTTTAAGAAACTTCTCAACCTCTGTTTTCTTACTTGACCTGCTAGCAATTCAACCACTGCGAGGCACCTCCCACCATGTCCTTCCTCATCATTCACTACCCAAATGCTGCCTCAACTCAAAATCTATCTCTGTAGTACCTGCACTAATAAATTGCTACCAACTCTAAACCTCCTCGAAGATCATTTTTCTCGAGCTATCAACATTAGAAATAGCGATTCGATTCTGAAACCACCATACACTGGCATATCTGACAACCGCTTTCAGGCACCATTTCATAACACCCTGCCCCTAAGGCAAATCAAGAAAACCATAACACCGACGAGCCTTAATGCGTTCAAACAAGGACGACGATACTACATCACAAATGAGAATTCCACCATGCTCAAAAATATCAAAACTCGTTACTCCACCAACCAAAGCCTGAACATCCACAGTCCGATTGCCTTTCCTCCGCTGGAATTAAATGCCGAACCTCTAAACTATGCCTGAGAAATCCTCCTTTCAAGTCATTCACTACCTCGACACGTAAATAAGCATCCTACCATTATGCCAACACTGCACGATAACAACGCATGAACTTCATAGCAATATGTGCATAGCCTTGAAACCATAGGAAATACAGATACTGAGCTGAAACGACATAACATCCTTCCGTAAGGCGACGATAGTAGCCCGCCCAAATATGTAGGGAAAAACATCCTACACCATATCTGTAGTACCGCCACAACTCCTCGATGCCCAATTGATAACAAGCGCTTTACGTTGTATAAGATTGAGTATGAAGGAAATAAAGGCATAAACCTCAAAGGAATCCAATCACACGATGAGGAATAAAGAAGGGAAGTGCTCCTAATAGCCTTATAGCCTCTCGAAGATAAGTACAAACGTCTCTGTACCCATCCGCAAGACTCTACTAGACTTGCTCATGACTCGTGAGACCCAAGTGAACCTAGAGCTCTAATACCAACTACCACGATCCAAATAACACTAGAGGTCGTGATGGTGTCTAAAGCCGCCGTCAGGTAATCCAACGGTGATTGGTCAACTTAATAACTCATTTTATTACTTTTAAAATCATAATTTTTATTAAGGAAGGAAATTACAATTTTAAATCCACAGGAGCATTGATAAGTGGTGATTTTGACTAATTATTAGTACCTTTTAGCTTTTCTTTTAGTCCAAAAGCGTTTAATTGTGTTCCCGAAAACTGATGAAATATGTTTAATTGCAGGACTATTGAAAAATGAGCCACTAAGATGAAATCCAACTCAAGAAGGAGTGATCTGACCTCAAGGACAAAAACAGGCCTAGAAGCTCAAAGTGCGGACCGCAGATTATCATCTGCTACCGTAGATTGTGAAGTAATTTCTATTAGAGACAAGTGCAAAGTTTGGTCCGCACATGACATGTGCGGCCGCAGAAGCTAGGCAAGAGCAAAAGTTCAGAGAGTTTGCATATCAAGTTCAAAGGAAGTGCGGGCACACAATTATTGTGCGGTCGCAGAAGATCAGCTACGCAGCCGTAGTTGTATTTGTGTGGTCCGCAGAAGAGTCATGTGCGGCCTCAATCAGAAATGTGCGGACCACAGAAAGAGAGAGGTGCGAACGCGATTCAAAATTGTGCGGCCACAAGATTCAAATCTTGTCAAGCTGAAGCAAAGTGTGGACCGCACATAGAATTGTGCGGCCGTAGAACCTCCGAAAGGGTATTTTTGTCCGAAAATTCCAGCTTTGTATAAATAAAAAACTTTCACTTTTTTAGGTCAAGTTGTGATATCAGCAACCACATTAGATGTTTTTCTTTACCCTCTTTAGTAGTTTTTGCTATTTTGAGATTTTTGAACATAGGTTTTATTATTTTAATCAATATGAGTTTAATTATCATTTCTTCTTCTATTTCTTCTGTTTTAAGCATGAGTGGCGAGATTCCTACTAGGGTTGTGACCCAACCCTAGAGTGTAAAATTAATGGGGGTTTGATTTATTGCTTGTTTATAATTGGGTGTTTACTATTTATCTTTATTCTTATTTTTAATTGTGGAATTAATCGTTGCAAACATTAGTTCATGCCTATTTGACATGGTCTCTACTTGAGAAAGAAAGACTTAGTCTAGGAAAAATTGGCTAACAAGAAATTGGGGTAAATCAAGATATTGATTGTCCCAATTAAAGGGTTGAATCTAGAGATAGCAAAACCCGACTTGAGCTTTTTACAACTGTTTTGTTCAATACCCATTTGGACTTGATAAAATCAAATTGGGCAAAATCACTCTCTAAACGAGAGGTATTGAGTGGGTATTCGAGTGTTGATAGCTATGATACACCCCAACCACTAAAACAAACTTTAAATTTATAACCCGTTAGGCAAACACCTAGGTGAAGGTCATAGCCTAGGCCTTTTA